AGGGCTCGAACACCGCAATTGCAGTGGTGACGGTGGCACTCGCCACTGCTCCACTTCTGTCCGCGTTCTGTGGCACAATACAATCATTGATCCTGAGGTTCAGAGCAGTTCATTTCCTGTCATTACCCTTGAAAAATCATAGTGCTGTCCACGGGCACTCGGTAGGCCACCATAGTTGAGTGATATTCCCTGCGTACCTCAGACATTTCCTGCTTTGACTATCCAGGTTTCAGGTATCAAGCGTTGCTACGGCGACAAGAAACTGAAAGGAAGAGCATGGCAAAGACGCTGAAACAGTATGGGGTGAACCCCGATGATTTCCCTACAGCAGCAAACCAGGGTAGTACACGAGATAACGAAGAGAGACCTGCGTGAGTACGCTTTGCACAAGATCACCACATATAGTACTTTTCATCCAAGCAGCAGTCGCGATTGCTTTGGATCTATTAATTTAACCTTCTCAAGTTTCCCTATTTTGAAGTGCTTCGAGTGTTTCAGCAGCCCGTTTGGAGAGCTACTGTCGCTGGAGGATATTGAACGAAAGCCTCAAACTCAGACATCGGATGTTGCGGTAGGAACAGGATAGAAGTGCGATTGTGATCTAAAATTAAACAAAAGGGTGTTTTGGTAGCCTTTTTATCTTGCATTGTTTTGCTCTTCTGGTTGCGAAAGAAAAGGCTTCAATCAGGAAGAAGTAAGGGAAAGAAGGCTAGTGGAGCAGGATTTAAAGGCACATCCCACGATCATTGTGTAAGCAGGGTATAATGGGTGATTCGTTAGGTACAAAGATTGTGGAACTTTCTCGGCTCAAAGGTAAATGCCACAAGGCCTAGCCATCTCAAATAGTCTGATCGCCCATGAGGAGAGTTAGCTTTAACTTTTACTAAGGAATTATGGGTGAGTAGTTTCCATGTACGACTATCCATAAATCTTGACATACTGGTAGGAATTGCTTCTGTAGCCGTTACCAAGATGGTATAATCGCTTCATTGGCTAACGTTTCGGCCGTGTCGCCTTCGTCAAAGCCTCTAATTACACGACAGGTTACTGATTGAGACCACCGCTATTCTCGTCCGAAACGTTAGCCAATAAAGCGATTATACCATCTTGGTAATGGCTAAAGAAGTAATCCTACCAGGGTGAGACACACGTTTTCTGCTCTCTTCTCTGTCGCCTCTTTCACATTCATTTTCCTCGCCGTCTAGGTTGTCGTTCAGGTACCATAGAGGCGAAGGGCAATGGTAAGGAGCTAATTTATGAGACTTTTCAGCAGTTTATTTTT